CACTTTTAACTCCGTTATATCAGCACTTCTTACACCGTTATACCAGTACTTCTAACCCCGTTATACCAGCACTTCTTACACCGTTATACCAATACTTCTAACCCCGTTATACCAATACTTCTAACCCCGTTATACCATAACTTCTTACACCGTTATACCAGTACTTCTAACCCGTTATACCATTACTTCTCAAGACGTTATGCTACTTAACCGGATTTCTTCTTTGTATATTGATTTTTTTTCCCACACTCGAAATATTCTGTATTAAACATCCAATTCATAGCTTTGAAAGATGTCCGGACTTGTTGAAATTAAAGGATGTAAATCAAACTCCGGTTATTCACTATCCCTATGATCAGTAAAGAATATAAATTACTTATTAAAACTTCAGAACATCGCTGAGTACTAATAGTCAGTCACCTATATACTACAAACGAATGTTTGAAATGTGTTTTTACTTATGATTTTAATTAGTGCATTATTAACACAAATAACGAGTTACCCATTTCTTATTTTCTGACTCTGACAGTTTAACAGCTTATTCAATAATGCATAAATCAGAGATAAGAAATTTTCCCTTCCACCGTGGTACGTGAGTTCGCTGATAAGTATCACATAAATTCAGATAATGAATCAAACACGGACAGAATAAAGAAAGAAATGAACAAATGAAACATTGACCGGTCGGTCTCTAATTCTCTTTGACTCTCTGAATGCTGGGGTTAAGAAGAGACTTTCCTACACACGTTCACATGATTTATTTTACAACTGCACAGGACAAATACGAAACGTTAAAAAAAAATCGAACGCTAGATAGGTCACCGGCTATTCCAATTAACATTCAGGTTCCCCCCGATACATTCCAAATTGTACAAGAATTTGAGATGACCTTGCCTCTACCTAGCGACCCAGTTACAGGGCCAGAGTGGTATATATGTGAGCTTCTGGCCGTTGGAGACTTTCCTCGAATAAAATGATTAGTACTTCTTTACGACCTTTCGACGTTCTACTAACAAGAACTTTAAACTACATGCAGAAAACCTGCACGAACGTTTATAAAAAATTACCTCACTATATTTTAAATGTAGTCGTGTAGAAAGGTGTTGCAAAGTGGGGGTACTTGGCTAGACATGCAGATTTTACAATGAAAGGTTGAAAGTATAAGGAACTACCAAAAGCAGCTCAATCTAGGGGGTCTAGGGGCATGCCCCCCCAGAAAATTAATATAATAATATAACTTACAGTTGCTATATAAGTGAAATATGTAAAAGTGTCAGTGCTCCAACATCCCCAGCACACCCGGTTTTGACGTTTCTGTCTCAATGTATTTTCGAACCATACAATTAAGGTGTTGTTGTTTTTTAAGTGCAAAGCTAAACAATAGGCTATACCTGATTTTTAACGACATAAGCCCTCAAACTTCCAGTTGAACCACCTTATACCCACTACAATCTTCATGTGCACTCCCCCCCTTCCCGAACATTATTAAACATCCACGATCCTATTATATATTACACTTTTACTGAAACAATATAAAATTATACATATTGATTACTGATTACATCTCTATTCACAATAGGATCATTTCAGAAAATATTCAACAATGCCTCAAATGAACAATACTTTATTAACCCTTTCCCCAGAGGCGCTGTAATTAACTTCATTCATTATTCTTTCTGTTAATAGTAATTATCATTTTAGGAACGAACAACTTATTTTCTCGTACACAGTGGATTATCTTGTTGTTCGTACTGAAGTACGATGGTAAAGAAATGTCATTCAACTCTAGAACAGTACTATTGTTGTAATATAAACAGTAACTGTAAAGAATTGAGAAAATAAACAATGCAGTCTAAAAAAATCTGATTCAACGCACATATCATAATTTCATATCCACCGCTAGATGGCGAACGTGAACAGTGGGAGTTATAAAACAAGCGAAACCAGAGTTACGTCCAAGTACTTTTTAACGATTGATCTGTCGAGATGAAAGTGTTTTATTGCTTTATATTAGTTGTGCTTGTTACGGTTGGAGGCGCCACTGCAAGTGAGTTTTTAACTTCTTTTATTTTTTTTAAAGATAATTTATCGTTTAGGAGTAAAGATAAACGTATGAAGGTTTTGAGAGGTGTAAGTTATTACTTTCTCTCCTAAAGAAGAACAGTGAATTATTCAAAGGTGCATGAGTTTTGGGTCTCGTTTGAAAACCGTTACTATATTTTGTATATTGTTACTTATTGTCGATTATCTATGCATCATTTTTGATAAAATCCTTATTCAGTTATTGTCTGATAACACCTCCTGAGGATACTTTGGATAATGTATCTGATCACACAATTTTTCTAAAATATTTGTTGATTAGGAACGTATGACTTTTCGAGAAAACTGGATAAATCTATTGAGTTTGAACGAATGTAAACTTTACAAGACCCATCTTCCGTAATTATTTACTATACAAGCGTAAAAACATGGTTATAAATGTAGTACATTTTGTGTAAAGACTGGATAACATTAATAATAGTAAGTTGCTTCTCCACTTCTAGTGTTTTAAACTGTAGATATTACAAAGAATCTTGATTATAATAGAAATTTGAAGTTAAGACTCGAGTGCCCATAAGTTAACGTTTCCTCTGTAATCGTGACAATCACTGGTTGATTGTATTATATAACGTTCTTCGTCAATATAAGCTTGTATCAGGACCTTCTGTGTTTCCCTCTTATCTTTCAAGTTGATGCTTTTGATAGCCCCTTTTTATTTAAGGGTTAAAAAAAATCTATAAATGTTTTTATTTTTTATTGTTGTTTTAACGTAGGTATAGAAAATTATACTTTATACTATAGTTAAAGTAAGTTATCGTGACCAATTAAGATGTGAGAAAGTATTGTCTTGAGTTTGTTCCGCTCTTTTAATTCTAAACGTATGTTGTTTAACTTTAGATAATAGCCTAAATTTGTTTCACTAAGTCTGATATCAACCTCTTTAACAGAAATGAAGGTAGCCAACAATGAAACCATAGAATTGGTAAGTACCTGTTCAGCCTATTGTCATCTCTAACAGTAACGTACTGAGCGTTGTTTGTTTGTAATTAAGCACAAAGCTACACAATGGGCTATCTGTGCTCTGTCCACCACGGGTAATGAAACCCGGATTCTAGCGTTGTAAGTCCGTAGACATACCGCTGTACTACTGGGGGGCGAGCGTTATTTAAAGACTTTAATAAAAGCAAACAAACCTGTGTACATTTTTACAAAATCTAATATAAAACTATTAAAAGCTATAAAAGAAAAGTCTATTAATGTCTCTGTTAAGTAAGTAATTTGACTCGAGTGTGAAACTTTTTCCACTACAGCAATTTTGAATATCTTGATTATTTAGTTTGCTAAAAGCATCTAAACTTAAAAATAAAATGTATAATTATTACTATTAGATTATTTGTAAATTGTTAGCAAGTAAAGATTTCATTTTTTTCCCACGCAAAAATCCCCATACTGAACGTGCGCAAATTGTTAATTTCTGAATTGCAAAACTATCTAAAAAATTCTGTTTATTGAAATTTAAAATTACTTTTTATCGTCAGGATTAGTAGCCTTAACACTAAAGATTAATTACTAGTTAAGTCTTTAGCCCTTTTAATTTATAGATTAACACTTGTTATAATCGCTTCCTTTAAAGAAATTGAATATTATGGAAGAGCTAACTATTCCTACAAAACTTTCTTAAATTCAGGGGTTCTGGGTCAAGCCCCCCCCATTAAAAAACCGCCTCCCCTTCTAATTTCTATTACGTGGAAGCTTTGTAATGGGAATATAATATCGTATTCCGAAAGTGGATCTTTCCTGTAGAGGCTACATGGCTGAATGTAAACTGGGAATTCTCATTTGAATTATCCAGCTGTATAATCCGCCAGACCTCTATCACAACATTAACTGGAACCTAGCAATCAGAGGAATTATTAGAGTTAAGATATTTTAAGCTATAACATCTTTTTTTGGGGTTGTATTACTAGTATTACTTCTCTTCCCCCCCCCCCCCAACTCCCACTAGTTGAGTATCCACTTCTGTAAATTTTTAATCCAATAAAGTGAGACTCTGTAATTATTATGGTTTCTTTTTAACAGTGTGAAAGTATACTGACCAATTGTACCAGTGAAGACGGAATGGTAAGTTTCAAGAAGATTTTGTTTTTAACGTTCAAATAATGAAGTCCTCGTATCTACAACTTTAAAATATCTTAACGTTTTAAAAGTGCACAATACTTAAACTCAACATAATCCCTTCTTAAGAACATTGTGTATGTTTCGGTAGGTCATAAAACAGGAAAGAAAATGGCATTGAAAAACCCAAAACGTCTTTATTTTTTACTATTTGTCATAATACACACTGACAAATCACTTAACATGCATGCTGCTGCTACCTATCGTCTTTAAAATATTTCTAGACTTGAGTTGTACAAGTCCTGTACCTGTATTTAAATTCAAAGTTTTAATATTTATTGTGATTCTGTTTAGTATTGTTCACGTATCTCAAAATACCTTGTAACCAGTAAATAAAATTATAAACGCCTCAACTATCTTTTGGTCTTAATTTAATTTGATTATTCAAACATTATTAAGACAACAGAACTTTTTTTTTTTTTTAAAAAAAAAGTGATTTTGTTCATTTCTACTAAGACTAACTTTTCTAAGAAAATGTATTGGTAACTGCGATGTCACGAGTGAATTCTGGAACAAAATAACTTTCGTTTTTCTTGTAGGTTTTCCAAACCTTTCCCGTTTTTTTTTATTAATTAAAATAGGGCATAGTTTTCAGCCAGCTGAGGAAACTATTGGCACCACTATTGAAGTTGTAGGCTACCAGAGTACCTAATAATCAACGAAGTCTCGTGCGTATTTACTATGGGATGTCAAAAGTTAAATGTTCAATCTGTTCCAAATGTCCTAGTTGTCAATATTTTGTGATGGTTTAACACGAAGTTAAGTTGCAACGAAAAGCGGGAGGGAAACAAACCTCCGATAAACGAAACTATCGTCGACTAGATGATTGAATCGACTTTCGACAACAAAACTTGTTTTCTTGAAACATCCTGATGAAACTCTGCAAGATTTCCCAACGGAATGTCAAATTTGTTGATGTCACGGGTTAAACGGAAGTTTAAAGATTACCAAATGTAGTTTTAATCACCAGTTGATACTAATACTACTGAGAGTTCGAGGTCTTGCAACTTTGCAATAAAACTATTTATTTAGTACTAGAAATGGTATATCTGGCTGGCGATGTCGGTGTTAAAAATTCTTTACAATAAAAGCTGTAACTTGTAGTGGTTGGAAGAAGTATCTTAACTAAGCGTGGAGGGTCATGTGAATACCTGTTACATATATAATTCACTATTGATGGCAACCCATCTCAACTGAACTTTACTTAAGGGGACTATCTCTATTGCAATTCTAAAGTTTATTTAAATTGTACTAAACGTTTTCTTAAATTGGAGTTTTTCTTTTTTCACGATATGTTCTAAATACAAATTATTACTCTTATTTTACAGGAGGGTAAGGACTCTTGCCGGGTAACTTACCTCCAGGTAAGTATATTAACTATAGATACATGGTATAATCACAGATTAAGGGTTGTCCAAACTAAAAATTCACGAACTCCCAATTGAACGTTCGTTTTGATTTACTCCTAACGCATCCAGATTCTAAACCACTAGATCCAAGAAAACAGTTTGAAATAACGTGTTGATGTGAACAACTTTATATTTATTACTTAATATTCCAGAATGTTCTTAATTAACGAGATAAGATTTAAGTTCGGTGTAGGTATTTTGGCTCTTAATTTTGTTCCTATGATAAATTTGTAACCAATTCCTGCACAAATAATATATTAATGTATAACTGGAGTTCAAAATAACAGCATTGAAACCAAATCAAGGTAACTTTAAATTTTTTACTAAAATCTCCCTCTAGATGGCGTTATTGTGATATAAACGTGTACAGCCTCATAAAGACTAAACTACAGCATCAGTAAGGGAGAACTTGTAACTGTTTAATAGTTAAAATCATAAATGTTCAATAGTTCCTTCTGTCTGGTTTAGACACTATTCTTCGCGCTATATACTGCGTCCATTATACAGTAAAGTAGTGGTCTTGTGCACGAAACGCGTGGGATAATTTGGATTGATACTCCCATCTCGACCTGATGATGACAAAACATTGTCGAAACGTTGTACATTTGCTGTTATGTTAAACTTGTGTTAAAGATTTCCTTCATTACCCATTCAAGCAGTCTCCAAGCATTATTAGTCTCAGGAGTTAATTACGAATAAAAATGTTTCGCTGTACTTAACTAAAACTCGATGAATTCGCTATTTGTAGAATTGAAACGTTTGTTTCAAACTGTACTCCTGTCTACAGTAAAACATCACAGCCAGTATTTAAACTTTAAAGCAAAACAGCTACCTAATGCTCTTTGCTATTTGTGATTATTCGTAGATATTTGAGTGATTTCTAAAAATGAACTTGTAAACTATACGTTGACCCACAAAATACATCTTTATTTTCCTAGAACTTGTTAAGTGACTTCCTGCATCATAAACTAGTCTCGATATGTTAAGTGACTTCCTGCATTCATAAGCTAGTCTCGATATGTTGTTAAGTGACTTCCTGCATTCATAAGCTAGTCTCGATATGTAACATGTACATGCTTTACTTTTATTTTTTATAAATGGCTATAGCCCGTATAAACTTGTGTACCTATTATTTCTCTCTTGCTGTGTGTTTTCTTTTAAAATTCGGGATATAAATGGACTACTGGCTTTTGACAAATGAAAGGTTTTTGTATACTAAACAATACCGGATGTTTTTCAAATGCCCTGAGGGGTCCGTACTCGTAGTCTTTATTGACATTATATTTATACGTTATTTTATGATTGTTGTAAACTGTTTCAGAATAAGCAGTGTATTTTTTCTTCTTTGTAGTGCTACGAAGAGAATGGACATTTGGTGTATTAAATTGATGACTTGGATCTGCAACCATTCTAACAAGCTAACTTTTTGTATTTCTTAAAACCATGTTAGCTTTGTTTAAAAATGAACAAGCATACTTGAAATAAACTTTCTTTTATGGACTTTGTTTTCATTACTCATTTTATGGTTCTTCACCTTACACCAAACTCCTCCTACTGACAGCTTTCTACATATTTTAATGGTTTTCAACCATAAATTAGGGACCATTTATAAACAGGAGCGACCAGTTGTGACCCAACAAATAGTTTTAACGCAAAAAGGCATCTAGTATACTAAACTTTATATTTGTCTGTTCACAAACCCATCCACACAATGTTGGAGAAAAAAAACAAGGTATGGTTTACTATCTCGTGGTAACTTATTATCCATTCAATATACACGTAGTTTCTAATCACCGTATAATTAGAGGATTGAAAAAGCCAGTAGTGATAAACTTGGAACGTAATAAATCACATTTTACGCTATTCCTTTTTAAATTTAAACCCATACTACTAGAAGGAATGGTAACTTCAGCTCAGAGTGAACTATCTATTTAAAACTAAAGGTTGTGTCTGATAAAATACTTTATTTGTAAAGACTAGAACGCATTGTTTCATTATTCAATATTTCTCAAGCTTCGCTAAGATTAAAAATTTCAGATCAATCCTAGATCCTAATAAAATAACTTCTATGATCAAAATATAATGAAATCGGTATGTTAAACATTCCAAATGATTCTGTTCTGTATTATTAATATTATAAATCTTGTTTGCCAAAGAAATATAAAATTATTTCATTCTCTAACCAACCATTCTATGAATTTAATAGTAGGTGTTGAGGCCTACACCAATGACAATTGTATTTAATTATATATTTACTATTATACCAAATTCCCATATATAAGCAGCCAATAGGAGAGCTCCTAACCAACCACGTGATCAGCAGCGCTAATTTAGTTACGGTGTCCAAACGCCATAATTTCGGTCAAACGTATTCTATAAATCAAAACGCCGAGGAACAAAATACGAAACAGAGTTAAAGAACTGAGACAAGAAACCTGGGATAGATTCTGTTCCAAATTAAACAAGCATACAGACCCAAAACAATTCTATACACACAAAACATATCCGACGCTTAACTAACAAAATAAACTATCATATACCAAATTACAAAAATCGGCAGATTTCAAAGAACAACTAAAGATAACGTTTGAAATACAAGATGAACATCCACTATTTTAGTACAGTAAATCGGTACATTAAGCAAAACAAACACATTTATACTCCAATATTCACGGTTGAGAGTTGTAACCTTCAAAATCAACAACAAACAAAGTATCCTTTTGGCAAATGAAATAAAAACAGAACTAATCATCTCCTTTAAAAACTACGAAAAACAAAACATCAGGCGAATATAACATAAAAGCTATTGTCTTAAACAAGAGCGAATCCTCAACATTCGCGGTATTTGAAACTTTTATGCAGGATTAGAGTAAATTAATCTGTGAGACCTTGGGCTGGTCAAATACATCAGTCGGAATGGTTTGACTCCCTGAGTCCAAAACTGTAATTAGATCTCAAATCACAGGATTAGAGTAAATTAATCTGTGAGACCTTGGGCATGGTCAAATACATCAGTCGGAATGGTTTGACTCCCTGAGTCCTAAACTGTAATTAGATCTCAAATCACAGGATTAGAGTAAATTAATCTTGTGAGACCTTGGGCATGGTCAAATACATCAGTTGGAATGGTTTGACTCCCTGAGTCCAAAACTGTAATTAGATCTCAAATCACAGGATTAGAGTAAATTAATCTGTGAGATCTTGTGCGTGGTCAAATACATCAGTTGGAATGGTTTGACTCCCTGAGTCCAAAACTGTAATTAGATCTCAAATCGGTTAAGGGATAACGGAGCTAAAAGTTTGTATTTAAATCTCGGAGCCGCGGCTAAATAAAGCGCTCGGAGATTATTTGATCATTTAACAGCATTATTTAACCTATCCCTAATTTCAGGAAACAAGCAAATGTTCTTATCTTATGTTTCTAAAAGAGAGAGAAAACCAACAAATAAACCAGAGAGTTACAAACCAATTAGTTTAAGAAGTTATATAGGCAAAATTGTAGAAATAATGATTAGTAATAACTTTCAACTTTCTCAGAGATAACGTCTCAATTACTGAAAGAGCAAAACTGTTTGGCAAACTACGGATCATCTAGTTAGGTTAACTGAAATATAGTAGATAGTTTTAATGAACACAAATACACTGTCACATGCTTTCTCGATATAGCGAAAACATTCGACATTGTATGATATAACAGAATGACGCAACTGGAATTGCCGACAGGTGTTGTTCGTGGTTGTCCGAATTTTTAGATAATATAAATGTAGAGTGAATGTGGAAGGCACCTCGTCAGAATATTTACTCCTGAGACAGATGTTTCCCGGGGGTAGTTAGTCCTATCCTCTTCATCATGTATGTAAGCGATATGCCTTTAGCGGATCAAAATTTTTGCCTAATATCTTAATTCACAAATGATGTGGTGATTTGGAAGAGTTTCACAACTCTCTCAATAGTAGCCACCAACTTATAACTGGTTCTAAATGAAATGGTAGAATATTGTCAGAAGAACAGAATTAACATAAACGTACAGAAAAAATAATATGCTGGTATTTTCTAAAAAGACAAAAATATGTAGACAGAAACCAGATTTATACATAAACGTAACTCTTTTAAATACCGCCACAGCAGCAACATTTCTTGGTCTAACATACGATTTGAAATAAACATGGAAAACTCGTATAAACCAAATCAGAAATAGAGTATTGCAACAAGCAAACTACGCTAGGAGTCTGTCGTGTAAAAATAATGGTACAATCCCCAAAATATAATCAAAATGTATAAACAGCATATACGCCCAGTTATAGAATATGCAATTCCAGCTTGGATAAATATAGCACCAGTAAATCTAATAAAATGACAAAATTCAGTAACTACTAAAGCTCGTGGAATTCCCAGATCAACAAACTCTCATTTCATGCACAAGTGTGCAAATATACAACCAATCAGTGACAGGCTCTTAGATTGTTTGCTCAAGTATTTTGATATATAAAAAAATAAGAAAATGATTTACTAACCTCTATAGATCGCTATATCATACATGATCATATTTAGTATCCATCATTACTTAATATGTATAACTCATTGAACATGTACTTCACAAGTTGGATTACCCTTTCCATTAGCCCATCAGAGATGGGTTGATAAGGTGAAGTTCGCATTTTCACCAAACCCGACACTTTACACAACTCTGAAAACAGTCAGCTGTTAAAGTTTGCTCCCGGATCTGAGTGGTTATCTTCAGGTGCTCCGAATCAGGCTATACAGTGTTACACCGTCACATCAACTTAACTCTGAGAATGATAAAGGAACAAAGGTAACTTGAAACAAGATAAACTCATCGGGTTTCTTGACCACGTATTATGAGAAACCTGAACACAATCAGAACTTAGAATCAAATATTAGTACTATAAAAAAGAAGAAACTTACAATATATTCCTATATCACAACACTACCTCTTAAAGAAACTTTCATATACGTTATAAGGTTAAATGACCAACAGATATCTTCAAAGTCTCACTTCGAACCGAACTTCGAAATAATTTAAGACTTAGTTTCTTTATACATTTAAGGACAAGTTATCCCATATGCATTCTTCATTTATTTATTTAGTTGTCTGAGTTGTGGAAGTCTGTTTGTTGTTTTGGAGCAAAACCACATTGGACTAATTGCTGTATTCACCGCGAGAATTGAACCTCAGGTTTTAGCGTTGTAACTCTGTAGACTTACCACTGACCCACTGGGAGTACAGCGTGTTGGAGCACCACCAAACTATTAAAACGTTATTAGGAGTATACATCGAAAAATGTGAACAACATATTGCAGAAATATATTAAACGGCACTTGTGCCCAGGTAGAATATTGGTGTATATTTTTAGAGCAAAGCTGCATTGGTCTATCCACTGTGTCCACTGCGGGGAATCGAACCCCGGGTTCTTGCATTGTAAGTCCATAAAACTACCACTGTCCCACCGGGGGGGGGACAAAAATATTAGAAATGAACATGGTTTGTTATGAATTTCGCACAAAGCTACACGAGGGTTATCTTCGCTAGCCGTCTCTAATTTAACAGTGTAAGACTAGAAGGAAGGCAGCTAGTCATCACTACCTACCACCAGCTCTTGGACTACTCTTTTAACAACGAATAGTGGGATTGACCGTCACATTATAGCGCCCCCACGGCTGAAATGGCGATCATATTTGGTGTGACGGGGATTCGAACCCGCGACCCGTAGATTGCGAGTCGAGCGCCCTAACCACCTGGCCAGGCCGGGCGAAAATGAACATACAACGTCGAGTCGTACAATAGTTATCGGAATGGAACATCTCCAAATTCTTTACAGAGATGTTAATAAACAGAACGTACGTTTAAAAGAAACTCTTATCATCTTTGAAGTTTGGCCGGAACCTAATTCAAAAGAATATGTGAAAAAAATCTTAATTTGCTCATAAAAGCCTAGTTGGTTTTTTCGTCCTACGAACTTAAGAAAAGAAAGAAAATAAAAAAACGAAAAGTGGATAAGCTAGTATTTGAATATCACATTATTTTTTAATTATTTCATTTATTCTTACATGGTAAACATGTAGTATTTTTAGCATATTTAATAAAAATGTTTGGGTTGATGTTTGTTATATAAAAATCACGTTCCAAAATCTCGTAAAAACAACAACTGTTATTCCAGTACAAAAATCTGAGCCGAAGAGACTAATATTTCATAAAATATATATCTATTGTAGAAAGCTGCTTTTCAAGTAAATTGTAGTTAACAACTGTAATATTGCGCACGATTAGATATTTTTAACTGCATAATTAAAGTTGATTTATTGTTCTTTCGAATTATCTAAATATCAGCTAAGCAGTTTAAATGAAGCATGATTTGTATCAAGTACATATGTATATATTTGTTGCTTCTACAGCTTTTGACGTATATATATATTTATTTATTTATTTATTTAATTAGACTATAGCGACACCTCTTACTAATGTTTAACATCAATATTATTCGTTTGTTGAGTGCTTGGGAGGACGTATAACGATGTCGTACAGGAACAATGATAGCCGTATTTATGTTGGAAATTTGCCTCCTGACATTAGAACAAAAGATATTGAAGATATATTCTACAAGTTTGGGAAAATTACTTTCATCGACTTGAAAAATAGAAGAGGCCCGCCTTTTGCCTTTGTGGAATTTGAAGATACCAGGTTGGTTTAGGCCTAAGTTTGGAAGGAGGATAGATGCGTAGTAACTAAGGAAGGGTAAAAAGTAATGGCGGATATTAACTTTTTTGTTATTATCATAGTTGAGTTTAAAAATCGCTTTTCATCTGTTACAGGATGAGCCATATTTTTATTTAGGGAATTTCAATTATTCAATAAAAGAATTACGAAACACAGTAACATATTTTTGTTGTTATTGTGTTAAGACTTTAGTTAAATAGTTTTCTAAAAAGAAAAATCTGTAGTACTTTACCATTAATGATAATTTTGCTCAATTTTTAAGCCTAGGACTTAGTCAGTGTTTAATGCGAGGCAGTGAAGGCTAGTATGTTTTTATAAAATCGAGATTTATATAATAAAGCAAATTCTCCGATTCTAACTTGATTTATTACTTAACTGTTAATGGTAACACTGGTTAAGCGAGATAGATTTTCAACTTCCTTATGTTATATACTTATCAAAATATGAAATGTATCAAAAGCTGCTGTTTTACTTTTAGTCGATACAACTTTGTGAAAGAATTGAAAACATAGAAAACATTCCTATCAGATGACAATGTTTTAAGTTATTTTACAACAAAAATGTAAGACAATTCTTGAAGTCGGACATCCATGAACTTTACCCTCCCACAATGCAATGTCTGCATAGCAACCGAGGTGAAGAGGCAAACAAATAGTGCAACAAAGGGGAAGTTTCATTTATTCTGTACACTTGCTCGCCATCTAGACTCTTAATTGTAACGACTACTGTAAATATGGTGAAGAGTTGTTACGTATCCAATTCCACCATTAACATGTTGAAAAAACCTAACTTTCCTTCTGTTTGATACCCAATCCTCTAGCTCACCTTAATAGTAAGCATAAAGCAAACATTAGAATAGTCTTAAGACACTTTGTCAGTAACTGTTATAAAAATTAGTTCAATCTGGTAGTATAAGTTTTATGCATGTCTTCCTACAAAAACAAGCCACTTAAAAGGAGAGAATAGTGTTGTGGCTGAAAGCTATCAATTGCGGAACATGGGAAACATTAGGAAAGCTGTAGAGGCCAAATTTTACTATAACTGTGTGTTCAGCTCAGTTTATGTCATGTGAATGTCTTCAGATTTGTTTTTAACACAAAGTAATTGTACATGTCTGAGTACTGCCCACTGGACCATATTGTTGGGTTGTTGATCCACAAGTTGGTAGGGACAAGAAACAAGACCAATAAACTGTAACTCTATCTTGCTAATGACTTGACCAACAACTCCATGTATTAAGATGTTGCAATTGATAATTTGACTATTAAACAATAATATATGAATGATAATTGAAGAATTTGCACAGCAGTAACACATACACACAGTAGACCTATATAAATTGCACACACCCAGCTGTACTTTGCTATTGTTTGCCCCTTTGTCAAGATGGTGATTGCGCCACCAGGCAAATTCATATGACTGTGATATCATGCTGACCTCAAGAATAGAGAAGCAGTACAGTATGTAAAAATAAAGGATATTTTTATACTTTCAACATTTGTGGAAAGTGTGACATTTTTATATTGTTTGTAGCTAAATGTAAGCAGTATGAAACTATATATTATTAGTGGATACAACATTATTAAATATACTTTTTGATAAAATATGTAACTGTGTAAACAAAAAAAAAATTTACCATGTACGTGAACTATAGGTCTATTTTCACTCAAGAACATGTGTCGATGAGACTACTTTCCACACTATTGGTTGCTGAAAATTATTCATGTTGCTATCATGTATGGTTTCAGAACACGAGTGAACAATCATGTATGCTAAGTATATGCCTTTTTGAATTTGATGATTAAGTTTTGTTCAAGTGTAGCTGAGTGTGCAAGACATTTTTTTTTTTATAGATCTGTGAATGAACTTTGTAGTAATGGTGGTGTATAAACCTGAACTATTTAATATCAGAGTAAAAATATTAAAAAAATATTTTATTTCAGTAGGAAATTGACAAAACAATGTACAATATGGTGAAGGTAGTCTTCACATTATTTAAGGGTTATTGAATTCTGTTATAGATTACACTTCTTATGGACCTGAAAGATACATCTTTAACATAATTATAGCTTTTGAATTTTAGTAAAAACTATGGGTTAATAAATACCATAAACACCTGTAATTAGTACAGTTTTCCATCTAACCTATTTAAAGTATATTTGTCTACGAATGTTCATAAAATTGACAGATAAGGTGGAGGACTTAAAGAACTGTAGGAAGATTTTTTTTAAAGTATGTTAGCCCATTCACTGTGGCAGTGATGTATATTTCCCATTGTAGTGGGAAATACATGTCCCAGTTGTAGTGAAAGGGTCAAAGGTAAGCAAAATGCTAAAATTGGGCACTTATTGATGCTGATGGCAGTTTTTGTTGAGATAGTTAATTTTAAACATTTTCTTTTGGTTCACAATAGAAAATTAGTAATATTCTGAGTAACAATTATCCAATCCTCGGGCACCTGGCCACAATCCGTTGACATACCAAATGGAGAGAGAGCGAGGCTGGCATGTATGATCTATGACCTTTAAAACCCTGGAGAAAACTTTAATTGGTTTTGGTGCTATTTTTAGCCTCCATTTAGGGACCAATATATAAACTATTCAGGTCAATTCCAATATTTTTCAAGTAATACTCTTATCTTTAAGTTGGGTGATAAGTTACACTTAAAATTTTAAGCCAGTTAGGCTTCTGTAATTAAAGATTCCAATCGTGTAAAAAGCTTTGAAAAATCATTTAGTGAGATGTGATATCATAAAAGAAAGGCAATATGAATTGTTAAGGGGAATCTTAACTTTCTGTCTAAACTTTTTACAAGGATGTTACTTGTTATATGTATGATGGAAAGGGTGAAGATTTTTTTATTTTCAGAAATCTTTTGATAAAGTGCTACAAACAAGATTAATTAAGAAAACCACACAAATAGGGGTGGGGTATGGGGGGGGACTAGCTAATTGGGTTGTTGGATGAGAGAAAGCAAAATGTTATGAGTGTACGGCCCAACTGAACCTTTGGTACTAGTGAAGTTTTTCAAGGGTTAGGGTGTTTGTTTATTATTTACATTAATGATATAGATAAAGCATAGATAGGTACTGAGTAAAGTTTGTGATGAAATTAAACTTTTGGATATTAATTGTGCCAAATTCTTATAGAAATCATGTGGAAACAACAATCTGAAAGGATGTGTCCATGTTACATGAAAAATGTTGCAGCAATTCCAGATAAAACATTGTTCTTTCCAGCCAGTATAAAGGGGGAATATACTCTTAATATAAAGATTTCATACATTTGTACCATTAATTCATAATTTCATGACCCCAAAACCATTGCAAATAATGGTTTCTTTTGTGTATATTGTCTTTCAAGTGGTAAACTGTTTAACCCTATTGCAACAAGTTTTCTTGTCATAAGAGGTCAAAGGCATGTTATCACAATTGTAGACTTAAATTCAAAATGTTATTGAACTACTATTTTATGAATGGGTATCAAATTGTAGATTGTAATTCAAATAATATATATTAGTTAATTTCTTAATTTAAAAGTAAATATTAAAACAAAATTCCAGATATTGATATTTTGTGTCATGAGGTATGTTAAATGCAGCTTTGGTTCAGATTAGATGTTTGTGATGTCCAAATACAAAGTCTGCAGTTTCTTATCAATTAGAAACTCAGATTACTGATACTGACTAGCTAGAATGTAAAATAATAACCTTCTATCTTTTCTATTTGAGATATCACTACATTTAGTGAATCAAACAGTGGGCTTTGCTCGCCTCTTTCGTTTTTGGAAATGCTTATGTATACCTATTTCTGTTTATGACATATAAAAAACATATAAAATTGAAAGCTCAGAATGTCGCCCACAGCCTCTAAAAGTTGGGAAGTTCCAAAGATTATTTCTTTGTCTTGATTCTCAGAAGGATTTACCCAAATACTGTGTAGTTAGTAAACCTGATAAATTACAGTGGAATTCTATGATATTGATAGAGTAATCTATAATATTTGATTATTTCAAAATGTACATTTTGTTTTATATCCTCCATGTTTGAAATTTGATGAGGTGTAGCAAATTATGGCAATGGCAAGAGTATAAAGTTTGTAAGCAGAAAAAAATCAGTTTTATATATTTTTTTTATTTCAAGAAAAATAACTGAAATTTAAGAACTTGTTTGCAAACAGTAACAATAATACACACACACACACACACACACACACACACACACACACACACACATATAGGTAATGTATTATAACTGAAATGTGACTGTATTTTACAAAATACTGATTCAGTAGAACAAACTGAAGACAGGTCACTTTGTAAAGGTCAGTTTTATTCTATTGGAGTGTTAGACAGGGCTGAAAGGTCAAAATGATAAAAATAATATATATAGATGTATAATGTTATGAGATTTAAGCTATTTAGACAACATTTGTGATTTCTTGTTATAATTTGTATCATTCTAGAGCAAAAAAGAATAATCTATTTTTTTATGTTGGGTTACGAGGTCAGTCATATTGACCAAACCCATACAGAGATACAATAGTAAAAATAACAGAAAAAAAATATTAAGTTTTTTGATAATTATCTGGGGGTTATAAAGATTTTTCCTGTGAACTTTGACAATTTTCTTATGCATAAAAGTATCTTCAGTTTCAAAATCAAAATTACTTCGCATGTTGGATAGCCAACATTTGAAAAGAAAATATGTACAAGCAAATCATTACTTAAAATGTAATATAAAAAAACCTGATATTTTGGGTACTAAAGCCTTGTAATGTTTACTGATAATCTGTAAAAATTTTGTGAATATATGCATACTGTATTAAAAGTATAACAAACACAAAACAAGCCCATAGTGAAGAGAGTAAGGGGTTTTTTCTCATGATTTAAGGGTCTTGGTTTTTAGCTGAGAGGAAGGTGTGTTTCATTGACAAATTTTGAAACACAAACTAGAGAAAGGCAAGTGGTTGCCAGCATTTAACACCAACTCTTGGGGTAATTTAGTGTTAAATAAAAGTTTACATTATTTATACCTTATAACTCTAACCGTATTACTTAATGTTGAATAAGTTGTAAAGTTTGTTTTTATATTGTTACATTGTTATTTATAATTTTTGGAACTCTTCTTTAGTTTTAATTTCCTTTTTCTACATTGTGTACGTTTTGTTTATAACACCACACCTGTTAACATTCCTAAATTTGTGTTGTGGTGTAAGTTATGACTGGTATTGTCATGTCTGTAACCAGTAAATTTCTGGTCATGGGTCACTTACTTGCAAAGCAGTATTCATTATCTTCTTTAGTTATGCTGCTGTTTTTTAACTGTGCAGTAAATGTACTAATCCATTTCAATAAATTTATACTTAGAAGTTTTAGTACTATACTAGTAATTTTATTAAGGTAACAAAACAGAAATATGATACATAAATATGTTGCACTTTATACTGTATAGAATAATGTTATACAACATCAATGATAGATACGTATAAATAGGCTGTGATTGAAAAATAGCCTTTTTTGAGGCCTGAAGAAGAAAAAAGATTTAGTAGTAACAGCATGATCCTGGAAGGAAAAAAAAGGCCTTACTCTCAAAGTTCTGTTCCTTTTCTATTAAAAAAGTCCAGAGAACATAAACATGCTTATGTTTATTGATGAGTAGGATATTCTTCCATTATTTGAATGAGCAAGATTGTAATGAACTCAGTCACACTCAAGGGAGTTTGATGTAGTAGTCCTGTAAATAGCCATCAGTAACACCATTGACCCTGGAAAAAAAGCATTGTTCTTTAGTACTGCATTTAAAATTACACCGATAAAGATGTAATCAAACCCTTGTGTACAGTCTTAGTGAAAGTTGTGTTCTTGTTGTGAGGAGAATACTTTATTTAAAATTGTGTTCTGTTATAATGAAATTTTTGTTGCACATACCATAGTTATTTTTTTGTATGAACCTTGAATACCCAAAGTGTGTGAATTTTCATGGATGTTTGTTTGTTGTGCCATTCACTAGATGACGCCATATTTCGTGAGACTCAATCACCACTTCTGGCATTGAGATCTTGTATTTCAGCACATCAAATGACACTATTGTATATATTATTTTAGTCACATTCATAGATAGATATATAGATGGCCACAGCATTTCATCCTTATAGTCAGATGATATAATAGATGAATGAGGGTAGTGAGTAATGCTGATAATTCACTATCCAAATTTTAAAATTAATAATCAATGTTCTATAAATGAAGATTTTTGGTACTTAACAAATGTGTTAAAAACTTCTGACTTTTAGAGATGCAGAAGATGCGGTCCATTCACGAGATGGCTACGATTATGATGGATACCGGCTACGTGTAGAATTTCCAAAAGGGAATAATCCAGGAAGAGGTTTTGGGTCCCGAGGCAGAGGTAGAGGTCCTCCAGCTCGTCGCTCTCAGCATCGAATTCTTGTTTCAGGTTGGTAGATCATTTCAGATTTCACTATTCACATATATCCTAATGAGCTTAGTTGTTACCAAGAAAATTAAAATGTTTTTATGTACATATATAAACATGAAATCTTAGCTAAAAACAAAAATACTCATTTATTGTTTAGGTTTATTTACAAATATTATTTTTGGGTCTTATATATATTACTTGAAACCATAAGGAGAGCACCTGATTATTAAAAAATGAATAAAATTTGCATTTTATGGACGATATAAATTTTTTGGGATCGCAAAATAATGTACTAAAACATGAAAAGTAATCAGTTCAACTCTGGAACAAATATAAATATCTTAATCATTTCTTATAAATTCCATTTCCTAATGTAATTTTCCAAGATATTAAAGATCATAATGCAAAAAAACTAAAGTAACAAGCTTTATGTAACAAGTAATAAGTAACAAGCTTTATGTTTCTTAAACTATGTGCATTTATGAAAGTTGTTAAGAAGTTTCAAAACTTTTTAACCAATAGTTTTATTGTTGGAATGGCATATAGCAAGACTTGCATTGGCTACTAAGCAAGTTAGTAGCTGGTAGTAATTGGGTTAAAAAGAATAACTGAGGCTAACAAACATCTCTATTGAACTGTAGGCAATGTACTTGCTATTCTAAGTAAGCCCTTGCATTGTTAATAGTTGATGTCTCTTGCATGTCTTATGTAAGAGCAGTGCTGGTGTTTGATGGTTGATTGTAGAGATGATTGGGTGTTTAAATAGTGAACTGTTTTGAGAGAAGTGTGAAAATTTAGTAGGTTTTAAAGATTACATAAATGAAATTTGAGATGAAGAAAACTTTTTAATCTTAACATGAAAATCACTTTGCACACTCACTATTCAAAATAAATAATAAATATATCCATGAACAAATCTTTTTTTAGTTTGTTAAGAATACTTCACTGAAAAATGAGTTTTTGTAAGTGAAGGGCTTATGATGTTTATTGAAAGACTGCCAAATTTCATTTATATATTTAAATTGACTTTGAATGAGTACAAAGAGGTCACATGGTTGGTCAAATTGACCAAGCTCGTGTTGAGAGAGTTAAATACAGGTTTACCTGCAACTGAAAAACAATTTTAGAAATGTGTGTATAGTGTTCTTTATTAAATACAGGTTTACCTGCAACTGGGAGTTGGCAGGATCTGAAAGATCACATGCGAGAAGCTGGAGATGTATGCTATGCTGATGTATCCAAAGATGGGACAGGAGTTGTAGAGTTTCTCAGATATGAAGACATGAAATATGCTGTAAAAAAGCTTGATGACTCCAGGTTTCGTTCTCACGAGGTTTGCCATAGAATAGTTCTTTTCATTACTATTCGTCCATTGATGAAGCTTGTAGTTACTATACCAAATCTTATATTTGCAAAATAACATCATCTTAGAGACATAATTTTTTTTCTTATTTTACGAAGTTAATTTTAACCTCAATTTGAATACTTTTTTTATTTGTTGAAGAGTGAATTTGGGATGTATTGATAACATTTGCTTGGATTGTAATTATATCTGTGCAATTAGTAGTATTTGCTAATTGAATAAATCTGTACTCTGTTCATCTAACTATTGTACATACAAGCAGAAAAAAGTTGGTGGCAGGTGCTGTCAGAGTTTGCCTACCTTCTAGTCAGCAGTTCAACAACAACACCAAAATGTTGGTGGTGCCACCAAGTTTACATTTCTTATAGTCAGCAGCTCACAAAAAAAAAAGGTTGGCAGTAAATTGTTTAAATGTACATTGTGGAAATTTTTTCACAGTATCAACATCAAGGAGAATACTAAAGGTTTATATTATTTGAATTTTTTAAAATAATTAATATACGTTTGTAAATAGGATGTCATTACCACTCTTAGATACTGCCCTTCAAAAGTTACTTTTCTATTTCTTAAAATTGATCAAGTTTTCATGTTTCAGGAGCTATTAAGTGCTCTGCCTTGAGACTAAGGTTATGAGACTGAATTTTCCATACAGTGTGTTAGGATCCATTCCATTGTGTAAATGTTAGGTACACGAAGATTGATAACATGTTCAGTGGTTGTTAGGTGGCTTATTTCACCTTACCACAAAGCTAAATTAAAAGAGTACATCAACATAGGAATTTTTTTTGCTAGTAATACTTCCAAACTTGTCTATTTACAGCATATCATGTTCTTAATCATACCCCAAAATGTTAGTCTCATAATCACGATTTCTTCTACAAATTAGTCCCAGAAATATATTGGGTATTTATTGAAAAAAGTCATGTAGTCTCCAGAAGACTCGTAACTGCTGCATAGCTCCTGTTTACTTTATATGTAGAAAAAAAGTATGTTCTTAACTCTCATCTACTGAATCTGTGTGTGTACTAAATAACATCAAATGTAAACTGGAAACTTAATCAAATAATACATGGTTTAATGAGCTTTTAGTTGCATTTTACATTAATGGAGCATTATGAAGCAATTTGAGTCATTAATGTGACAGAAAGGAGTCCAAAGATACAGCCTATTTCTTGGTTTGGGGTAGAGAAAGTATTATAAGTAACTGATGAAGAAAAGTAAATGTGAGATTGTACACAATAAAGTTTGAAAGGTATCTTCTTTTGATTCAGAATGAAATTTTTCTTGGAATAAAAAAATTTATATTTGGGCCACCCTGTAAAACTAAGGGACTGTAGGATCTCTTCAGATTAGTGTTTATTTTGCTGTAGCTCTTTGTCTCATCTCTTCTAAAGTTATACCAGTCCAATTCTTGATGTTATCCATAAATATTCTTCCTTTTTGTTTTTGCTACCAAGGTGTGGTCAGTACTAAGCTTGTATCTCTTACAAAGAGTGTATTTTGCAAGTATCTTTTTCTTCACCTTAGCTAAGTAATCTTTCTCATCAAGCATTTTTACCATGTGTCTAACCTATTTGTTGGTTCTTCAGCTTACTTGAAGTACACACTTCTTGCATCACCTTTTTCTGGTCTCTTACCTTCAAATCCTGCATACATATCCATATAAAACTGATACACACTAATGCTTTCATTACTTTAACATTCATTTTACACACAGCTTGCCTGTCACACTCTTTCCCATATCTCTCATCCAGTCAACATTAACCACCAAGATATTGAAACATCTGAGAGATTACAGAGGTAGGCAAGCACACACTTCCAACTTAGAAATGTAACTATTATTAGTTCTTATTACCTTCTCAGGCTGTACCTAAAATGTGATAAATAATATTACCAGAATGCTTAAAATACAAAAATAACTTCTAAGGATTAATTGATCACCTTATTTATAGGGAGAGGTGTCCTACATAAGAGTCAAGGAGGATTATTACGGACGGTCACGTTCCAGAAGTAGAAGTTACTCACCAAGACGTAGCAGAGGCTCACCAACATACTCTCCAGCTCGTAGATCCCACACTCGTTCCCGGTCCAGATCATATTCCAAGTAAAAGATCAACATGTGCATTCAGATAGTGTTAACATCTGAAACTTCAAATAATGCATAGGATGTGATGTCGACGTATTATCAGGTTGACTTTTTTTTCCCTAAAGTGATGAATGTTTTAGCACATCTTGTAATTATGTAATTGGTTTTGTTATTGGTGAGAGGGAAGATTTCTTTAACATATTTCTAAAGCAGTGTTAATCAAGTTTGTCAGTACATGTATAATTTTACATTTATTTTCTTTGAAAATTGTAATGACCAGCTATTGAGAATAAAACTTTTTAATCAAGTTTTGTTCATTTATCTTTTTTTAGGTACACAGTGTTGTTTCAATTATAGTATTTTAACTTGTAACAACAGCCCCTCTCACCAAGAAATTATTTTTTCACGTATTTGTCCATTCCAAGGTCTGTGTAAGTTGAACAATGAACTTTAAAAACAAAATTCAGTTGGTTTTGTTGTCTCCTTTTTCTATATTCCACATGACTAAGATATATTAATTTTCTGCTGACTGTGTAGTGTGTTTGATTTCAGGTCTTAATAGCTGTTAACAAGGAATTGATAAATGACACTTTGATAAAGATGGATAATTGTATTCTTTATCAGAAGTTTTTCGTAGTCTTTTCATATTAGGCAAATAAAACACATCTAGGTAGGTGTTGTCTCAGTTGTGTAATTTTTGTCATAAAGTATTGATTTAGAAAATTAAAAATTATATTGAGAACAAATGTGTAAAGAACTGATTCTCATTGACATATATATAGCTTACATAGGAAATGTTTAACATATCTTCTAATGCTGAGATGTTGAATTTAGTTTAAGCTATTAAAGGTTGATAGACATTGTGATGTGCATTCCAAGCAACAAGTATTACTCCACCCATTTTCACACTTTTTTGTTGTTGTTTTTAGTATATGACTGGGGATGTTATATTCCGGTTACACTTGTACTAGGCTTTTATAGATTGATTGGGTGGGAGTACTGGTGTCTCAGACTGTTACACTGTGGTTCCGATATTCGTGGTGAGAACAGCACAAGATATCCTATTGGTAGCTTTGTGCTTAATAACAGAATACAAAATCTTAGTATATTAACCCATGTACAGATTTAATTTGGCTTTCTTTAAGAAAACTTGTAAAACAAACTAAACTTTTAATGTGAAACTTGTTAAAATGTTCATGAGCATCCAAACACTGACAACATGGATTGAGGTAACAATTTTGCTCAGGTTATTTGCTCAAGGATTTATAGATATGAAATATTTTAGTTACTATTAAGTTTGGGATCAAGAAGATAAATTTCTAACAATATTTTTTGTTTGTCTTCAGCTTTAACTACGATATGAGGTAGCAAGGATCACTTGGCTGTACTCTTAAGGATTTAACAAAACTATGGATCTAACTGGATTTCCTAAGGATGGGATGGCATGGGTGTGGATCCCAGGATAGGCTAAACTCTCTCTCTCTCTCTTTGGATGGCTCTGTAAATATCTGGTATAGGAGTAGTAGCGACAGAAACATTCCTGCTTCCTGGTATGAAGGGCAGGATTAACACCTTATGGTTTATCCAGGACAGGCAGCTTTTAGGAACAAATTCCCATTAGATAATTATGTTGACTAATGCTCTAAATCTGCAGAGAAAGTGGATTGTGTTCCAGGTGCTTCATGAAGACCAGGAATACATATCATAAATCTTGTATTGGATGGACCTAGTGGTTGCTAGGAGTATGTGGGCAGTAAGACTTCATTCGTGGCTTATTCATAGTGACAGAGAGGAGCACTCGAGGTGCAGGAAACTCCTGGCACTTGAAGCGTTACATTTAAAGGAAACATGTTTAAACCCTTCAGCACCAGGCTGCAGTGTGTCCAATAAAGACTGGCACTGAAGGGATTAAACACACTCAATAGTACTTCACCACCAAGCTACTCGTGGAGAATCTTATGTTTTGCTATAGCCTAACATTGCATAGGAAAAACAAGGAATTCATTTCTTGTGGAATCAAGGAGAAGTTAAGGATCCCCATGGATTTTTTTTTATTATATTAAACATGACAACAAGATACATGTTGCACTAAATACTTGTTTGGAAGTTTAGGAACTTTAGTGATCAAGGCCAGCTAAGGGAAATCTCATATGTAAGTCCATATCAAAGTGTTTTTAATTGTAAAGTATACCATTTGTTCTTCGAGTGAATTATATGGTAGATTGTAAGTATAGAGCTTTTAACAAATGGGGCACTCCAGGTAAGTTGATAGTGTACTCCTACGTAGGGTGGGGGGAGGAAGATAACAGCATCTTTAAACCATGTTCTTCCCCACGTGATTTCATGTTAACATCTCAAACTAAATTCATCATTATTCCCTATAAAACACAGGATATAGTTAAAATAATTACTTGTTAATGTAGAGATCAGGGCTAGTTCTGCTGTTTTGATGCAAGTAATCCATCCATCATCAGACTGCTATGATACATACTTGGCTTTATGTTTTATATGATGAACTGTCTTGCCCTGAATGTTATTGGTTCACAGTAGTATAAGCAGTTATAGTAACACTTAATTTGTGGGTATTTCTGTGTACATTTAATTATAAGATTTCATTAGTTTGGTTTAATAGTTGAAAGATTTATCTTAATTCTCTTCAGCATTTTCCAACATTGAAGAGGAGTGTTTAAAAATTGTAATGTAATAAATAACAATTTTGTGGTTACTGGTTAAGTTGAAATAAAAAATACATTTGCTTAGTATTCCATAAACTTCGAACATTAAAGGCTAGTTTTAAGGTAATTGTCCTGTATTTCAGTAACAGATCTTTTCTTCACAATACACTCATAGGGCAAGTTCAAAAAATGAAAAGCTCAACTGGTAAGTTGTGTAGATGTATCATTAAGTGTTAAAAACTGAACAGTGTTTAAATAATACTTGGTAGACCTAAGTTGTATATTACATGGACTTGTATACATTAGAGAGGATGTTGACCTAAATTATTGATAAGAAAAAGTATCTATTAAAATAGGAGGCATTATCGAGAATTTCAACACTGTTACAGTGTAACACATCATGTATAAGTGAAACCAGATGTCTGGAAAAACTTGCTTGAAAATATAGGATGTCTGTATTTTGATGGATCACAGGGCTTTTAAAGTTTTAGTTTAAACACCAAAAACTGCAGATGTGTTAAATACCGATCTCCCGTCTGGGGAATGATACATACTGTAACTGAGATTTAATGTCTCCTCACAAAAATGGTAAGATTTTGTTAAAGATTAATTATCTTGTACACAAAGACGAGTTATGTGAATTATTTTAACTTATTTATCTATTGTAGTTATTTGCACTCTTAATAGTTTGTGTACAAGGTGATTTTCATGTTAGAGCTTTATTTGCATAATCTCTAGAACCTCCTAAATCATTATCAAAAGTTTTTTTCAAGGTAAATGTGTCTTATTTTTCACTTTCTCTACCATATCACTAACTGTATATATCATCAACATACAGTGTGTAATATTAAGAAATAGAAAAAATGTACACACCTTTTAATTTTTTGCCCAAGATCTTAGATCTTTTTGGTTATATTCCTAATTTCAGGTCTTCACATATAGTTAATTTTTAATGTTTTATTTTCTTTTTTGTCCTTTACCATTTATTACTCTTCTCAGCATAAGTGAACGGTGGGTGCCCTTGGGTCATAATTACAGCAAAATTATCTTACCCTCATGCCACGAGAACTGATGCAAAGTATGATGTATATTTAAAAATAATACACAATTAACCAAGATATAAAAGTAAGACCTAAATACGAGTGATATCGAGGATCAAGCAGCCATCAGTACTACAGGTAATTACGTCTGCACCAATTTCAAAACAACTGTTGGTGGAGTATAGTTTAAAATGAGATATTTCTAATGACTTTATACATTTTTTGTAGCAACTGCATCTGTGTTATAAAGCTCAAGCAAAATTATATAAAGTGGATATGACACATGTTGGGGTTGACAACATTTATTACTTGTTCCTACTCCATTTAGCCAAATAACAAACTTGTTTGTCAATAGAGCAAAATCATCTAGACGTACATATACAGGACTGGCGTTTTCTGAGTCAAGATGGAAAGTGTGAAAGTTTAGATTATTCGTAGCTTGTAGATCACGTAACAACAGAACCTGAAGTTATTTTTTTTAAAGGTTCTTTTGAAATACAGGATTTAAAAGTTATATAACATACATTATAATTAAATTTTGAATGTAAATCTGTGACTTGAGCAGGGTGGAAGGGTTAATTTTTCCATTGCAGGTAGAGCAGTTTAACTTTGTTTTATGACACATTTAAATACTGCTTTTCAACATTTACAGACTTATGTGGGTACCACCTCCTTAATATATGGAAGTTTTTAGTATCCTTGAAATATTTCTATACATATATTGACTCCTTCACTCTTTATATGAAGCTAGTAACTGTCTCTCCTTGACTTCTAAGCTAGAGATTAGTACTATCAATTAGGCTAATATTCAGAAGGTAAATTTTAAGAGAAGTACAATCATCTATTAACCCTATTGCTGCGGGTCAAAGGCCATGTCATCGTGTTTGTTAACTTGCATTGAAAATTTTATTGAACTACTATTTTATGAATTTATGTCAAGTTTAGTACCAAACTGTAGATTATAATTCAAATTTCGATATTATACATTATTCAATTTCTTAATTTAAAAGTAAATATGAAAAAAACCCCTTAAACATCGATTTTTGTGTGTCTCGTGGTATGTTGATTGCAGCACTGGTTCAAATTAGATGTTTGTAATGCCAAAATGCAAAGTCTTGTTTCATACGAATTAGGAACTCAAATTACCGATAATGACAAGCTAGAATATAAAATAAGAACCTCCTATCTTTTCTGTTTACTGAGATATCACTGATGTACTGAATCAATCACAGTGGCCCTGCTCACCTCTTTCCATTTTTGGAAACAGTCCCTTATATACACTTATGTATATGACATGTGAATAACCAATTAAAAGCTCAGAATGTCCCCCTAGTGGCTTTCTCAGCCATTTTTATGTGTTAGTATGCCATCTCATTCTTTTGAAACAAGATTTCAAGGAGGTAGGTTGTCTTTATCTGCTCAAAATTTCATATTTATTTAGAATAAAACACAGCTTAGTTACTAAGCTTGATAAATTATAGTGGAATTCTATGGTATCAATATAGTAATTTGATTTTTTGGTTGTGCAAATATATATATATAAAACCTAAAATTATT